ACCTCTTCCCTCGCATTTCAAATCACCGATTTCACTTGAGTGAGCAGACAATCACAATCAGTGGAGACATTTTAGAATTTGACATGGGATGACTTCTAACAAAAAGCTTCTTCAGCTAGCAAGGGAGATGTCCTAGGAGGGGCCTGGGTGCTGTGAGGAGCAGCACAGAGCCACGGGAGGAAGGGGCAGCTACTCACAGTCCAGGATGACCTGAGCCGCTCGGTAAAGCTGCAGCCCTTGCAGCAGGTCCAGGAGCTGCTGCACTGTCGCCAGCCTCACTCCCCACCACCACATGAGCTCCCTTGTGATGCTGATCCCGGTCTTCTCCATGCATTTGATTTTCCGTAGCTCTGTTTGATCAGTGATCACATAGGAGGCTGGTGGGAGAGAATGGATATTTCTGTTTAAATATTAGAAAAAACAAGGAAGGGCAAGCAGGGCAGGCTAAGGTGTGAGACACAGTTTGCTTTTGCATTTGCATATCTTTAAAAGGAAGGATCACAATAAATTACCTATGTGGACATGAAGAAATTTCTGTTCCTAAAGTAAGATAGCCCTTTTCTTCCTTCAACTATTCTGGAAAAAAATTTTGTTCTATCAGAGACACTTTTCAGCATATTTTCCCTGTAATCTTTCTCCTTAATACTTTGTACCAAAGTAAGGTTAGACTAAATTCCTGAGGTGATTCTCCCAGAACAGGTGACAGCAGTCAGTGGAGTGGCTGCACTCCCACCTTCATTCCTAAATCCCTGTGCTGTGGTGAGCCGAACAGTGACTGAATCACCTGGGTGTTAGTTACACTCAGATAAAGCTGTCAGGGAAATGCAGCTGGTTTTAGATCCTGTGCCCAAGCTGACCCTACACAATGTGACCATCACCCCGCTGTGTTCACAGCTCACCCACCCACCCAAAACCCAGCTCCCCTCGCTGCCCCAGCTCCACACACACCCAGACACAGCCCCAGAGCTGCAGACCCCGAGGGGCTGTGCCTGAAGGAAACGGGCATGGGGCTCTGCTCTTCGTGTAGGGACAAAGATCCCCGAGTTCTCACCACGGCTGGCTTTGGAAGGACGTCAGAAATACAGCTTTATGCATCTGAAGGTAGGGGAGATGAATCCCACACTACATCAGCAAGTTTATCTGGGGTAAGAGCTTATTCAGCACACAGTTAGGGAAGTCATGTCAAATGGCAGGAACGGCACCAAGAAAGGCAGGCACTAAGAAAACATTCCATTTACAATTGCTTGCACTGGGGTACAGAAAAGAGATTAAATAACTCGGGACTATATTTTTTGTACTTACTGACTGTGCACAGCCAGGACCGAGAAAAACAGGGGCAGAAAGTATGAGGAAATATACATGAAGAGAAGGAGGAAAGAAAAAAAGTAGAACATCTGAGCAGATGTGAGAGACGTTGTGAAAACAGGCAGTGAGAAGTGGCCAGAGATAGTGTGAGTGGAGAGGGAAGTGCGAAAGACTGCGGAGAGTGAGGGGAAGGAGCCCGGCTGCCCGGGAAAAGCCGAGGGACCACAGAAGTCTGGCATTCCACCTGTGTTTGAAAAGCAAAACCAGAGCGGTGCCCGGGAATTCCCTGTTCACAGGACGTGCTCTGCCGAGCGCTGGGAAGCGCGGGGGACAGCGCCAAGCCCCCCGAACCCCGCGTCCTTCCCGAACGCGGCCCCGCCGCGGCTCGGCCAGCGCCGGCCCCACGGCCCCTCACCGAATCGCATCCAGTCGTAGTCGCTCAAGCAGTCCATCTTCTGGCAGAAGTCCTCCAGCACCCAGGCGGGCATGCTGTGGATGTACAGCGCCGGGGCCGAGCCCGCTCTGAGGGCGAGGGGCGGCTGCTGCAGGGCCATGGCTCCGCGGTCCCTCTGCGGACGGACCTTTGTCCCCAGCGCCACCGGCAGCGCAGGGACCGCGGCCAGGGGCACTCAGCCTCACCGGCCCCTCCTCTCTTCCCCCAGAGCTTCCTCTTCTCCGCGGGGCTGCCCTCACAGCCCGTCCCAGCCCGGCAGCCCCCGCCGCCAGGGAACGAGCCCGCGACGCTGCCGGCGATCCCCGGCGGGCTCCGAGCGCCGCTTCCTGCTCCGCCTGACGTCAGGCCCCGGCCCCGAATCACATTTTCCTTTCCATGACTGCTTATTGCCCCAGCCCGCTTGCCAAATGACGCGTTCCACGTGCCGGAAGCGAGGGGTGCTTTCCCGGGAGCTGCGCACAGCCGGCAGGCCGAGCGGGCAGAGCCACGGCCCCGGACACTCCGCTGGCGGCTCCTCCGCCCGTGTTTATTGCCCCGAGCGGGGCTGGGATCCCCCAACAGCTCCAGCGCTCCCCAGCGGGCTGGGGCCGGACCGCTGGGCAGCGAGAGCTCACAGCGCCGGACGAAGGACAGCACCGGCACAGAACGCGCTGAAAAGCCGGCAGGTGATGCCTGCACGGCTCCTCCGGCCGGGGCTCGCTGGCACGGAGCACAGCGGGGCTCGCTGGCACGGAGCACACCGGGGCTCGCTGGCACGGAGCACACCGGCGCTCGCTGGCACGGAGCACACCGGGGCTCGCTGGCACGGAGCACACCGGCGCTCGCTGGCACGGAGCACACCGGGGCTCGCTGGCACGGCGCACAGCGGGGCTCGCTGGCACGGAGCGCACCGGGGCTCGCTGGCACGGAGCACACCGGGGCTCGCTGGCACGGAGCACACCGGGGCTCGCTGGCACGGAGCACAGCGGGGCTCGCTGGCACGGAGCACACCGGCGCTCGCTCGAGAAAACGCGCTACGGTAGGGAATGCAGGAAGGGGGAACTTCAGAAGCGGTCACAGGGCCAGATCTTGCTTGTCAAGGGTTAGGTTTAAAACATGTTCTTAAAGTCAACAATTATTTGTGATTTTTTTTTTTTATTATTATTTAACGTGATTTTGATAGAAATGTATAATTAATTAATTTGCCAGTGTAAATATTAACAATACTTCTGGCAAAAAGGAGTGTTTTCCTGCTATACTGCTGCTAGAGACTGCCAGCAGATATGTAAGTGTAACCTTCCATCCTGCTCTTGTTGTTCATATTTAGCCCTTAAATTTGTATGAATTGCAGAAAGTGCTTTAAATTTTGACAGCTTTTAATTCACTGTTTCTTTGTACTCTGCATATATATTACAGTACAGCTAACTCTTGTTTTCAGTATCAAAATTTCAAACTTTTGCAGTTTCTATGCTCCTGGCGTCAGAAATCAGGAACTTCTTAGCTCCGCTGTGGCAAAGAAAAACTGAAAAATAAAATATTGTTGTAGCTATAAGATCAAGGAATGGGAAAATATAACCAAAACTACCCAAAGTGTATTTAAAAGATGACAACTCAAAGACTGCCTCGGGATGAGCTGTTTTATCAGTAGTACCAGTTCAACAATAATAGTTGCATTTATGGGGTTTTCCCCTCCCTTTTCCCTGCTTACTGTCCCTCTGACACACACCTAAATGCCTTCATGATGGGAACATTTCTGAAAGTGATGTAAGATGGGACTGAAATTGTGTTACAAAGAACTACATAAAAGTAGGAGGAAAAGACTTCTTCCCCTTGAGTACTGGAAAAACTTGTGAAACCATTTGAACTATTTGCCTCGGCATGGAACAAGGGGAAACAACACATCCGAGTGTGTATGGTTTCAGTTCTGTTCTGAATGTTACAGGTGATGCAGGGTTTTACTGGGGAACTGAAATCTAACAGATTCCAGAACAATCCTGTATATTCCTGCTGTTAGGCCTTTCCTTTCCAGCGTGGTGTGGGCGGGACTGGGCAGTGCTGTGTGTTCTCCCCGAGCCTCTGGATGCTGCCCCGTGTCAGCAGCATTTATTTCCCCGGGGTTTGTCAGCCGAGCGCCGCCGCCTCTGGCACAGAAGGTCCCGGCACACCACGCTCCCCGGGCTGGCTCTCACCGCTGCTCCTGGGGCGGCAGCGAGGCCGTGCTGGCTGGCTGAAACCAGGGCTAACGCAGCTGCCACAAATAAATTACAACTTTTACTCATTACTAATCCGTCTAACTACTAGGAGAGTGCATTTCCCAATGTTCACACGTTAAAGCCAGCTGTGGTTTCTCCAATCTTTTATTCTGATCCAAAGGAACACTCCAGAACAGAAGAATACAGTCTAATAAGAAACAGAAGGAATCACAGACCCCACTCAACTCAGAAATACCCAGAACGAGTGTGCCACCTACAGACTGTTAAACCCAACACCTAATACCAGCTAGGTTACAGGAAAAGCTGCCAAGCAGGCCAGCGTCCTGCCAGGGTCTGTCAGAGCTGCAGTGCTGACTGCAGTGCACAGCCTCATGACAGCAGGAGGGAACCTGCTCTCAGGTATGGTCAGGAGCAGAGTACAGCACTCTCTGACCCTCAGGCTCCCTAAGGCACTGATCCATGCCTGCTCCAGAGGCCTCCATGGGTTCACTTTCCCCTCAGAGATGTGTGAGAGGTGGTAAGAACTGAACTTGACTAGCCCCATTCCTGCCCAGACACTGCCTGAAGCTGTGCTGACAGCTCATGAGAGCCACAACACAGCCCTGCAGCAACAGGCTAAAGTGTCTGTTTACTGGTCAACCACAACAACTGTCAGAGTATCACAGGAATACAAACAGAGAGGCACTGGGGAGTTACCTGACAGAATTACAGTTAGAAAGCTAGCATGCATTTCCATTTTATGTCAAAGATCAATTTCTTCAAACATGTAAGAAAAAAAAGTTTACAAATAGGGAGACATTCCATACTTACAAAATACATTGAAATTCTCGGTTTCACAGCTACTCTCAGAATGTACAACTGGAAGGAAATGTATTCACAGAAATAACTTGCTGTAATCAATCTCCAGCCAATCTGTCTCTAACCTGAGCTGCACCACATCTTGCTCAATGGACAATTCACGTAGCACTCTCTGAACTCTCTGTGTGCATTCACGCATTCCACCGAGATGTGGGAACAGAATACAGGCAAAGAAATATTCTCTCTTTCTCTAGCCTGCCACTAGCATGGCCCTGTTTGTGAACTGGCTGCGTGAGCCAGTACAGCTCCCATTGGTCCTGAGAAGACACAGGCAGCTCAAGAGCTGCCTGCTCCCTGAAAAGGCCTCCTACTATGACCTGGACTACAGCACTGCGAGGGGAAAAGACAGAACTTAAAGCATCTACCTCCTGTGAATCCTGTACAGCCTGCTGGGGACTCAGCTGTAGGGGACAAGGGTGTCCCAAAACTAGGATCTGGTCTGTGTGGCTGAGATCTGCCAGGCAAGAATCCTATGAAAAAGGCAAATAAGGCATTTGAGGTACGATGACAATAAAAACATGTCAGACCTAAAGTGGATAGGATATGGCTTTGTACGTGGGAAGGGAGGAGGCAGAATAACCTCCAAGCAGTTACACATCATCTTTCCACCAGTGTCGTGTTTGTCAGACCCTCAGGCACTGCTGCAAACCCTCACGTACAAACCCCCCATGCTCTGTGACCCACATGTGAAAGGGAAATTCCATCAAAACAAATTACTCAAACAAAACCGATGACACTTAGAACCATCAGTCTGGGCTAAATTAATCCTTGGTGTAATTTGCTTTCTAATACAATGAAAGTTTCTTTGTATTAATATTTTCCATTTAGCTGCCCTGATGTTATCCTACAGTTTGCAATACTGAAATTAACTGAACCATCAGAACTGGCATGCCTCCAGGTGCTGTTCAGTGTTTGGGATTTGACTATCACCAAAGTTACTGAGTTTATGTTTCAAAACTTTAAATGAAGCCATCAGTTCCTGGTGTGTCTCCTGGCAACTCTCGCTGCTCAGACTCAGTGGTTTGCTACTGAGGAGTCTGAAGTGAGTAACCATGTTGTTCCACAATTTTGCTCCTCAATCCTTCATTCCTCTGCAGAGAAAGCCGCTGAAGATCCTTCCAAATATCAGGATGATCCTCCAGCTCTTCATATAATGACTGAACAATGTCCAGTTTCCTGTAGTTCATTGGGCTGACCAGACTGCGCACAACCTGCAGACATCTCTCCTTCAGGGTGAACACTGCAGTTAAACACAAACACAACACAACCTTGTCATGAGGGCTCTCAGCTGCTGCTCCAGTGCCAATGATGCTGCTCTGAGCAAGTGAGCACAGAGCACAACCTGCAGCAGTGACCCACGACAGGCTGGGCTCTCCAGACAGGAGACAGATGCGGTTCCTGCCATCAGGCACCCATGAAAACCCCTCAGAGACCCCTTTAAAGGAGAGGTCTGCCACTAGTTCCATCCAATACAACAGCTCTACCTAGAACCCCTCACCATCTCTTCCAGTGTCTGAGCAGGTTTAATTGCATGAGTATCTCATTTCTCAGTAATCCTAACAGGTCCAAAGAGACCAAGTTCAGAATTCCCTAGGACACACATGGTCCTGTCCCTTACCTGGCAGTGTGATGTCAGCTTTGGTCACATTGGGGGCCGCCACAAACAGCTCCTGCTGGTTGACGAGCAGCCCGTCATTGGTCCCTGCATCCCGGAACAGCCAGAGGTGCCCTGGCACGGAACAAGGTGGGAATGCACCAATTATAGAACTTTTTAATGACTGGCTCTGAAGGGCATCTGCTCACAAGGGACCAAGCTCTCCAGCTCAGCTCTATGTGCACAGGCCACTACCATGGCCCCAGTCACTGGTGTGAATGGGGAGGAGAAAGGAAGAAGGAGAAAAGGAGAGGAAAAAAGAAAGAGGAAAAGGAAAAAGAAAAGGGCAAAAGGAAATGGGAAAAGGAGAGTGGAAAAGAATCAGGAAAAGCAAAGGAAATGGAGAGGGAAAGGGAAAAGCAAGAGAAAGGTAAAAGTGGAAGAAGGAAAAAGGGGAGAAAGGAAAAAGGGGTGAGGGGGAAGGCAAAAGGGTAAATTCCACCGCCACCAGCTCAGCCGCCCAGGCCCCGCGACTCCCAAGCCCGTCCCGTCCGGTCCCGCCGCACCCACCCCGGTAGCTGCGCATGACGCGCCCGCTGCGTGGCTGCAGGACCGGGTAGCAGCGCGGCCGGCCCTCGAAGTCCAGCCAGACGGGCAGCACGTAGCGGGGACTGTGGTTGTTGAAGACGACCTCGGAGAGCTCCCGCGTGTTGACCGAGCGCAGGACAGATCCAGCCTCCCCCGGACGCGCCTGGCCCGGCGGCGACATCGCGGCCCCGCGCCCGCCCCGGCCCCACCGCGCGCAGGCGCCAGGGCAGGTCAGAGCCGGCCCCGCCCCTGCTGGGCACCGCCCCCTACGTCAGCGCGCTGAGGGGCGGAGCGCGCCGTGAAGGGCGGAGCGCGCCGTGAGGGGCGGAGCGCGCCGTGAGGGGCGGAGCGCGCCGTGAGGGAGCGGGCCCGCCGTGAGGGAGCGGGCCCGCCGTGAGGGGGCTTTAACAAGGTTTCAACAAGCAGAGGAAAACAGCAAGCAACAGGCATTTGGCACGCGAGTTGTCACTTAGAGCTGTCAACTCTTTGTCACGTCTTATGGCCCAGCAGCCTCATTTCACAGCTCTTGTGACTAAGGCACTGGGCTCACCAGGGCTGCCACAAACCAATTCTTCCTCAGCCAGTAACAGTTAAGCTGCCAGTTCCTTCCTCTCCTGATCTCTGGGTACCAAAATATTTCATCCTTCAGCTGTACGTTCCCTGTATATAGGGAATAATACAACACAAACATATAAACACTGTATTATCTTTATCACACACGTATGAAAACAGTAACATTTGAGAAAAACTAACTAGATATTAGAGAATCTGGACATGAACCAGAAAAAGAACACAATTAAGACTCAACTCTTTATGCAAATCTTCTAAAACTTTAATACTTGTTAATTCACCTCTGAACAATTACACATACTTAGCATGAACACACTGTAATGGAAAGGGCAAACCAATAATGTGTTTTCAGCCCCTGATGAGCAGAGTAAGAGGCCTGAGAAATCGTAGTATAGTCACAGAAGAAAAAAATATTTGCAACAATATTTTTGTGAATACTGAGGCAGTGTAGCTGTGGTAGTTAAATTACCTAAGAAATTCAAATTGCCACGTTGATGCATCCATGGTAGACACTGCAACCCTCAACTTTTTAATATAACTGCTGAAAGAATCTCTGTCCTCAAATAGTAACTACAGACTGTTTTCTAAGGCTGTGTGTTACCCCCTCACCTATGGTAATGGAACACTAAAATACGGATCAGACATTTACTGATAATTAGCCCTAAGGTGAGGTAACAGGCAAGAGAAGCAGTAGCACAGCATACTGTTTGCCAACTGGAATTTGCTTATCAGACCACAAAATCCAGATACTGGTTTATTATTAGTTTACATTTGAGAAATGGTATAAATTAGAAAACTACATTAGAGATACTACCCCTGAACCCTTTAATCTGACTCTCTTAGTAGTACTGATAGGCATTTGAAGATACACCTTGGTAAATAAATTGTCACCCCCAGAGCTGCCTCAACATGTTTTCTACTGTAAGGAGAAGAAATAAATGTTTAACTGAAAAATGAAAGAGAAGATTCAAGCCAAGGAAAGTTGATGCCAAAGTTCTGAAATTGATCCCTGGTTTAATATTTGTGTGCCAATGTCTCCACAGGTTGGTTGGTTTTGAAACTGGCAGACCTATGCTCCCAGGTATCTGCTTTAGCAGCTGTCTATTCAACAGTCTGCAGGCATCCCTTGTCTTCTCCCACGCAGTTCACCAGAAGGACCTTCTCTCCTCTGCTCTCTCCCAGGTGCGCCTCAGCAGATACACTGCAGCGTGGAGTCCCCCCACGTTCACCCACACCGTCTGAGCTCTGCGCCAGATGTGTCCCACGCGGGACAAGGCCTGCAAGCCAAAAACAGCCAAAGAGTTTCATTAAGACAATAACTTCTTTTTTTATTATTCTGTATCACATCTGATGGCAACATCAAAGGACTTTTCAGGTCCAAAACTGAATTTAAGATTACTAATTATTGCTTAGTACATGGAGTATCTTTTGTAATGATGACAGCTTACAATTTTTCCCTCCATGTATTTTCAAGTGTAAATAGGTTTGATTTTCTCTCACAGAACAAACCTTGGCAAAGCATTTCTTGTCCTGGGTAAGCAGCACAGCCCTGCCTGTCCCTGGGGTGCAGATCCGGCCCATCTCCATCAGGCAAGCTGGGTAGAGATCCCAGTTCTTCTTCTTCGACCCTATCCTGCAAGATAAATTCAGATCCCCATTGTGATCACTGGCACCAGTTCTGTGTTGGTGGTGTCTCAGACATCAACCGGCTCATTTGGAACCACAGTTACTCAAGCTCATTTTTAACACAGGGTTCACACTCCATCCCCAGCAGGCCCAGCTGGGGAGAAGCAGCCCTGGCGCAGGGCAGTGAGGTGCAGCACCTTCCCAGCTCATCTCACCTCTTCCCAAAGGGCATGTCTGTCACCACGATGTCCACAGAGCCCGTGCGCAGCGGCAGGTTGCAGATGTCCCACTGGATGATGTCCAAGGGAACGCCCAGGGCATTGCTGCTGCAAGAGCAAAGGCAGTTCCCTCAGACAAGAGCACTCAGAAGGCTTTTACACTAGGGAGGTCTAGAATGTTGGCAATAAAATAAACAAGAAAATATGAACCAGACACTCAAATGCATCAATGCAAAGTGGATTTCTGTGCATACAACACTGCAGGAAAGGTAAATCCCTCAGGCTCCTCTCACCTGTCCTTAGTCTCGTTTTTCCTCAGTAAGGAGCAGATGTTGTTTGCTGCTCTCTTCACTGCCTGAGGGCTGTTATCCCCTGCAATGTGGTAGCAGTAGGGCCATTCTGCAGCTCCCTGGGGGAAATGATAATGAACAACATTAGCATCAACATTGCTTGAATGAAAAAAAACCCAGAATAATTTCTCAAACGTGACAGAATACAACAAAGCGACTGCAAGTGGATGGCAGGAAATATAGATTTCTGTAACAGCTGTATTTTGCACCTTTAAAGCTCAAAATACTTTTGGATTTAGTATCTTCCTGCTATGTCCTATGGAAGGAACATGAAGTCATTTACAAAAAGTGTATTTGCATCTGTTCAAAAATTGGTGAGATTGGAGCTTGCTATTCAGTCATTACCAAGAAGACTTACACATATTACTGAGTTGCAGATACAGAAAAGTTTAATTAAGTTTTAAAAAATCAAGAAGGAATTACCTCTATTGGTATGGCACCTGTACCACACATGGGATCAACGATGATATCTGTGGGCTGGGGATCACAGAGTCTGAGGAACAGAAGAAAAGATATTGTGAGAAATGTTTTAAAATCCTGAATTTCTGTAAATGAGGGAAAGTGAATGATTTTAATCACTCTGATTCTACCCTTCTAACAAAAAACTTTGTGATTATTTTTTCCACCAGTTAATTACTATTTTATAACCAGCAATGCAATGAAATTCTTTCAAGAATGTGAAAACATTCTGTGAAAGCGCATTCACATGTTTTGTGAATTTCACAAATTCACTATTTTGAAACTTGGCTAATACAGCAAATGTTTACTTTTCTTGGCTGGGAAACACCCACTGTTGTTACAAGGCACATGATGTCAGCTACTCCTGGGGTTTTACATTTATTTTTCTTTCAGAATTAACAAAAATGGCTTCTGAAGAAGCAGTGAGGGAGAGAAAAGGTTTAATTTCTGAAACAAAATGACTTGTTAAATGAGCATAATACAACGTAACTGCCCTGACCTGAGCATGCCGTAAGCCAGAGTAGAACGCAGCGTCGTGGGTCCAAAGTGTGTGATATTCCTTCTGTGGAGACTCTCTTCAGTTAATGCAATTCCCACCACGACTTCATTGTTGTGAATATTCAGAAGAACCTAAAGAAAAAACTTTAAGTGAATTTCAGGAGTAACAGAGGCTTTCCACAGAATGCCTAGTAAATACTTACAGGTATCTTAAGACGGTAATTTAAAATCCAGGAATGACATATAAAAAATCTTTTGTTCTTGGAAAGCAAAGCAAAGCACCATTTTAATAGGACAGAATTCAGGTGAGCATTCACACACTCATTCCTGCCAAATCTGCTGCATAAGACTTCTAAAAGTGCTATGACCATTGCACTGGCTTCTAAAAAGATTTGGTTTGTAAGTCCTGCATGACACAGTAAACCATTTGCAAAAGCAGCAATAAAAGTCATATTTGTGGTAGGGACTACATGAGCTAGAAAGATGAAATCTCACTCCAGGGCAGTGGTCAGCCCTCAGTAAACCTGCAAGAAAAACGTAGGTCTTTCTGCCCCTCAAAAACAGTGGTTCCTCACCACCGACAGGCATGTGGTGCTGGTTTTATTCTCCCAGCCTCTGCTCTCTCCTGACAGAAAATAAATACCTGACATTATTGTTAACTACTTCTGGCCCCTTCACCTCAAAACCAGCTTCCATTTGGAGCATTTCCTGGTAACTTAGACTGCTATTAAACAATGCATTAGAGGAGATTTACTGAAGGTGACAGCAAGGAAAGAGGACACACATAATGTTGCCAGGGAAATGAACTCTTCAGAGGAGGCTGATTTCAGCATTATCAGTTTTCAGTTACAGAAAGCAGGTTGGGGATCTCTAAGCATCAGAAATAAGAACTAAAAATTTGTACTGCAGAAACATTGGTATTTCCAAGGCATGCCACCATACCTCCACATCAAAATTGGTCATGTCAGCTTTCCACTGGAAGTGCTCTTGCACAGCTCCACCGAAGTCTCTTGCAGCCTCATTTGATGTGAAGCTGTGCTTGTCTCCAGCTCTGTTGCACGTCACTCGGAACTTCAGCACCTTTGCCTCTCCTTCACCTGTCTGACCGTCACTAGCCTTGGTCCCACTCTCAGAACTCGCCTGCACTTCAACTTTCACATCTGATTGCTCATTATCTTCCTCCTCCTCCACCCCATTTCTGGATGTCACTGCTTGGGGATTCTCTGTATCCTGGCCATCAGCAGGTTCCACAGCCACAGGGTTTTGGGCACAGTCCTCCTGGTCATTACTGTTACTTTGGTCTGCTCCTCTCTCTTCTCCACCATCATTCAGCTTCTCTCTGCTTGCAGGACTCTGCACACCGTGTTTTTTGCGTTTTGTCTTTTTCTTTTTCAGGCTGTTGTTCAACTCCCAAACTTTCAATGGATCAGCCCAGGGCAGCTTTTTAACCAAATCTTCCAAATCCTTTAGAGCATCTTC